GGTTACTTTGTTAATAGAAAGGGTGGGGGGGAATCAGAAATCTAGGAAAATTTCTTTTCTAGGCCTCTTTCAAGACTGTATTATGGCAGGAATCCAGTTGAATACCAACCCAGGGAATCCCCAGTTGATTCCTGAGTAAACTGACTTATCTTCAAAATGCCTCCAGTTTAATCAAACAAAAATGGAAGATACTGTAGTAATACAGAACTGAAATGCAGACAAAGACCATAATGTAAAAAAATAATGGCTGGAATTTACTTCATCTATAATATTACAGGAAGACAAATTACCTTTAAACATGCTTTAAAAATCAGCTTATTTTAAATTCTTTTGAAAGTACATAGAACATATGCTTTTTTGCATGTTTTTGCAACACTGAAACTATATCTCAAGTAAAATTTAGCACCTTACCTTAGACCAAAGATGTGTGATTGTTCATAGTTGAATAAAGAATGAATCTTAGCTTCAGAATTCAAAATTATAAGTCTATCAATAATATTCTGAAAGAGAGAGACTTAGAGTTAGACAGTGCTTAACTAAAACCATTTAAAGAAAACCAAATCAACAAATATTTATTTAGATTTGCGGTTCTCAAATTTGGCTTTACATTTGAATCACCTAGGGAGCTGTTTAAAAACAAACTAAAAAAGATTACTAATACCTGAAGTCTCATTCCTAGAGATTTTGAATTAACTAGTCTGGGTGGCCTGGGCATTAAATTAAGAATTGTGAAAGTTCCTGAAATGAATCATCTAATGTTTAGCCAAAGTGGAGACTTACTAATTGATACCTTATCCTGATACTATGTGAGCAGCTTATGAAGACAGTTAAATATTGATTAAACTTCTAAAAATGTAAACTACTTTGGAAAACAAATATGAAATCTACAAGTGGGAAGCATGAACATATTTGAATAGTTTTATCTAGTAACTATTTGATATTTTGTTANAGAATCTGGAACTTTACTTAGTTCTTTGCTTTTGCTCAAATAGATAAACAAAATAGTACCATATATATATATATATATATATATATATATATACACACACACACACACACACACACACACACACACACACACACGTTTTCTGAGCTCTAAATCATCTTTTGAAGTCATTTTTACCTTATTAAATTTTATCTCTGTCATTAATGCATGATATATAAAAATTTATTTGCCTGGAATATAGATCCAAATGCTCAATAAAATTTGGACATATGATGAAGGTAAAACTTAGGGACAGATACACCACACATATAGTTTGAGTAAAGAAGTGATAATTGAAGCAACTGTAGAAAAAAAAATGAAAGAAGAACTGATGACAAACACTAGAAAAGAATTCAGTTAAAGGTATGTAGAAGACGAGGAGGAAGAATCAGCAAAAATGACCGACAAAAAGAAATCTAGAATAGAAAAGAAAAAAGTCAGAGATTCCTCAAAAAAAAGAACATGCATAGCATTGTAGCACTTAGTAGGAATTCAATATTTTCTGAGTGAATAAAGAAAATGTCAAGAGTGGGTACAATATAAAATGGTACAAAGAGGTCAATCAAAATTGTAACAGATGAGCATGACATGGGGGAGGGGGGTTGTTACTCTGTGAGGGTGAAAAGGATAACTATTGCATTGTTCTGTACACCTGAAACTAATAATAAAAGAAAAGAAAAATGTATTGCAACAGGTACTAAAAAAAAATAAGAAAAATAATAAAATAAAATGAATAATAAAAAACGGGCAAATAAAATGCATAAGGTGTGAAAATGTGCCTACTCTTTAACTTAGGAAGTCCATTTCTAAGGTTTTGTTGTCAAGAAATAATTATGGGCATACAGATAGTTATGAAGATGCATAATAAAAATTTTAAATAATCTACATGTCTAAAAACAGAAAACTGGGATTTATCCATGCACTGGAATATTATTCAGTCCTATAAAATTATGGTATAGATGAACATATATATGTATAAAAGATAATTTAAAATAAGTAAAAAAGAGTTTTAAAACAATAAAACTATTTTTCAAAAAATATTTCAGCGGAAGTTTGAAAAACGTGGGCATGAAAAGGCTCATGGTGGTTATCTTAAGAGGTGGTATAATAAGTATTGTTTTTCTTCATTTCTTTTTATTATTTTCTGATCTGTTGGGCTGTCGGAAAAGTCATGAAGTATTTTTTCTATGTTTTTCGTTGCAAAAATGCTTTATGGCTTTTCCGACAACCTAATATATAAACAGGAATTTGATGATTCAATATAAATTTTGAGGGAGTTACTGATGTCTTCAATTAGTAATAGATCATTTTATTGTTTTCTTCAAATTAACTTAATAGAGTAAGATTAGATATTGGATATCTGTATATAAATGTTTGCACATGTGTGCATATAAATCCAAAATGTGGGTGACTTTGGTGTCAAATTATATTCTAATTTCTGATATTAAAAAAGATTACAAGTGATAATCTTTAAATTATTTTCCATTACTATTAATTATATTTAAATCTAGTTAACATCTGGGTCACTGGGAACAAATAATTTGGCGATTTGTTGTGATAGAATATTAACACTTGTTTATGTTTGTTAAAATAACTAGACTGTTGCTAAATAGAAAAACAAATATACTTTTTCTTTGCCTCTTAAAGTCACCTCAGATGACAGACTTTTTACAAAGAGGATAGTTATGCATAAAACTGTTCATCATACTGTGTATAAAATTTACCAGTGGTGGATAAATGTAAAATAATAACTGAAACAGCAAGTGATTAAATTTAAAGGCTTTTCAGTAAGTTTGGATTCTTGAGTTTTGTTTTGAAGAAAATGAACAATAAATAAACAAAATCAGGGTTTCCAATGTAGAAGAAATAGGTTTTAGGAGAACTTATATTAACATTTCTTTAACCATATTAAATTTTAATGTGTATATTTAATGAAAATTACTACATAAGATTTAAGTTGTTAAAAATAAACAATTCTACAGTATAAAATTTAATTTATAGCTTCATATAAAAGAAAATATTAATAGTAAATGTAAATTATTATTCCATGTGATATACAGTTTTTATATTGAAATAAAATATTATAGGGCAAAGTATAACATTCCTCTAACCTAAATATAGTTAAGAAAATCTTAAATTGCAAATCCTTGGGCAGAATAAAAAAGCTTCTGGGGGAATCTGACACCAAAAGCAAAGGCTAACGAAAGCAAAAATAAACAAGTGGGACTACATCAAACTAAAAAGCTTCTGTACAGCATAGGAAGTCGTCAACAAAATGAAAAGGCAACCTACTGAATGGGAAAAAAATATTTCCAAATCATATATCTGATAAGGGGTTAATATCTAAAATATATAAAGAACTCAAACAACTCAACAGCAAAAATAGAAACAATCTGATTAATAAGTGAGCAGAGAATCTAAACAGACATTTTTCCAAAGAGAGATACAGATGGCCAATATGTCCATGAAAAGATGCTTGACATCCCTCATATAAATCAAAACCACAGTGAGATATCACTTCATACCTGTTAAAATGGTTATTATCAAAAAGACAAGAAATGACAACTGCCGAGGATGATGTGGAGAAAAGGGAACCCTCATACACTATTTGTGGGAACATAAATTGATTCAGCCACTACAGAAAACTGTATGGAAGTTCTTTAGAAAATAAAAAAAAGGAGCTAAAACATAATCCAGCAATTCCACTTTTGGGTATTTATCTGAAGAAAATAACATTACTAATTTAAAAAGATAGGTGCAGGGCCGGCCAAGTGGTGCGATGGTTAAGAACTGGCTTGGGATGTCAGAGGGCCCTGGTTCGGATCCCACATATGAGGGCCAGTGACGCTGCCCTCTACAGCTAAGATGCTGAACAACAGCTCAACCTGGAGCTGGNATCCTGCATATGAGGGCCAGTAACACTGTCCTCCGCAGCTAAGACGGTAAATGGCAGCTCGACCTGGAGCTGGGCTGCCATGGGTCACCAGCAACAGCATAGGCTGCAGCCCCTGCTGCAGTAGGCTGCCATAAGCTACCGTATGTGAGCGGCCAGCAGCCAGCATGAGCAGCCAGCAGCCACAGTGAGCGGCCGTCCAGAGGCTGGCGAGCGACCTGCCTCACCAGGGAAGAGCGCAATGATGGTGCCAACTTGGGCCAGTGAAGCAACGTCCTCCACAACTAGACTGAAGAACAAAAACAACAACAACTTGTCTGTTCCCCTTCCCCCAATTCCCCAGCGCTGTTCCCCTCCCCCAATTCCCAAATAAAAAAATCTTTAAAAAAAAAAAGTACATGAAATGAAAAAGCAATTAGTGAGCAATCCATTTCCTTAACTAAAAGCATGTCACTGTAAAGCTATTTCAGATAACTTTGTATTTCAATTTGCTTTAATAATTAGTATTATATTAACATTACCATCACTTTCAAATTGTGGGTCAGTCTACTGGTGCATCAATAAAATTATGCTTTGGGGGGCAAAAAAAAAAAGAAAAAACAAGGGAATAAACCAAGAAATAGAAAATTGGATCCCAGGTAAAAAAGAATACAACTCAGAAGAAAGACAAAAGCAATTCCCAGGATGGTGAAGGTAAAATCCCTTCAGGAAGGGCCAAAAGATCGTCCAGTACAAAATAATATAATATGATATGACACAGGAAAAGCGATAATACTAGATGCCTTCTACCTATTGAAGAGTTTCTGTTTTCACAAACATGAATAACATATGGTTCCTGCCTCAAAAACATGAAAACCTTGAGACATAATTGGAAAGAATGATTATAAGGCACCTTGGCATTTACTGGTAAAGCAGTACAATGTATGGGACAGGCATGTGCTCTCTGGAACTAGGATACCTGGGTCCAAATACCAGCTTCACCAATTACTAACCGTGTCACCCTAAGCAAAGGGCTTAACTTCTCTGTGGCCTTCGTGTGTCCATTTGTGATATGAATGTGATAACCACTACACTACGGAAACCAGGCCTTAGGTGAGTCCATTTGTAAAAACAGAGGTAAGAAGAGTATCTGTTGCATAGGAGTGTTCTGAAATTAGGTGACTTAACTGTGAAACCAATCCTAGCACCTGGCCCACACTGAGCACTGTGTGAGCGCTAGGCAGTAGCGGAGGTGGCTGCACAACTTTTAGGACAGTCTAGGGATATGACACTAGATACACAGAAAATGCAGCATATGGAAGGAATCATGCAATTATTAACTTCAGGAAAAATAAAGTAAGAAAAAGGAAATACAGTCATACAATAGTATACTACTTCACCTATAAGTGAATAATATTTATATAAATATAATACCACAAACGTGCAATACTGATTTTATAAAGATTGTGAAAAATCTATACAGCAGGGAGAGAAAAAGGGAAGAGGAAATCTAAATTCTAAGCTTTTAAAACTCTAAAGACAAGAGATAAGGTTTAAAAATCAAGATATAGTAGTATAAGCATGCAATTTAAAAATCTGGAGGTGAATACCAAAAGAAACAATTCAAGGAATTGAGAGTGCCA